GGGCGGCGACGCCATGCGAACTGCGCCAATGGGACCTGAGGAGGTGCAGTTCCCTATGGGGCCACGAAACGTGCGAGGGGTGTGCCAACATGGGGCGGCGCCGCCATGCGAACTGCGCCACTGGGGCCTCAGATGGAACTCCCAATGGGGCCACGAAACGTGCGAGGGGTGTGCCGGAAGTGATGGCCACGATGATGATGATGGTGCTGATGATGATGGTGATGATGACGACGATGATGCTGATGATGATGGTGAGGACGATGATGATGATGATCATGATGTTGTTGATGATGATGATGATGTTGAGGATGATGATGATGACGATGATGATGATGGCGGCCATGAGGTTGATGATGATGACGACGTTCACAATGACGATGACGATGATGATAATGATGGTGATGGGAGGACGGAGGGAGGAGGAGAGGAGAGGAGAGGAACGCGGGGACCGTCTCTTCAAAACCAGGACCCAACACCACAGGGTGGTTGGGGAAAAAACAAAGGGGGGAAAGGATGAACGAAGAGGGAGAAAAGAAGATGCAGAGTGGCGGATGGCGGAGGGAAGCGATAATAAGGGGGACGGGAGAGAAGGGGCAGGATAGAGGGGGTAGCAGAAAGAAGGCAGCAATGTACGGGACCAAGGGGGCAGTAGGGATCAGAGGGAGGAGGCAGGACTCAGTAAACCACAGGCGGAGAAGGCTCACGAAGGAAGGACGGACGGTTAAGGAATGGGGATGCAAATTGGTTGATTGAGACGCGATCGAACAACGTGTGAACAGCTTCTGACTGCGACTGACTACGACTACTGAAATGCAGCTAACCAACCGTCTCTGCAGACCGGGGGGGAAGAGGAACGGGAAGGGGACGGGCGCGGGAGAGAAGAAGGGGGTGAGACTCGTCCCATCGTAGCGCCACGCCTCTGGCCCCGGCTCTGGTCCGAAGGCGTCCTGCGAAGAGGCTCGCGCTACCAGCCTCGAGCCGGCGCTGCCCTAGCCAAGCCGTATCATGGAATTTCAACACGCGGGCTGGTCAGAGCTGTGGGTGGCGCTCGAGGTGCGCCCCCCTGTTGCAAGATCGCCAGGCCCAGATTTTGCTCCAAGTGCCATGGCGATTCGCGAGGATGCGCGCCTCTCTGCGCACGCGCTGCCTGAACTCAGTTTTTGGCTCACATGGGATCGGCTTCCTCTGCAGCGCTCGAGACAACATGGCGGACTGCGTCTTGTCCAAAGCTTAGGCTCTGGACGCGGACCACGGCCAGCGCGGAGCTCTGTTCCCGAAAATCCCAACGATTGCCCAGTCAATCAACCGAAGTTTTGATGCCACTGACGTCAACGCCCCGCGGGCTTCCCTGAAATTTGCACAGAAGGCCTTCCACATCATCTTTCTGGTCTCTTCGAAGTCGCGTTGCATGGAGTTGGCGCTACTGACCCACGCCCCGACATATTGCATAGCTGAACACGGCTTCCACCCAGAAGCGACAACATCTGGATCCGCGTCGGGGCCGGAAGGCAAGACGAGGACCTCCTTGCTGTCACTGCTGGCCCAGAACCTACAGCGGCGTTGCAGGTGAAGCTCAAAGTCCTGAAGGACTGCCACTGCTGCGCTGGGCGTGGCGCCCACGCTGAACATATTGTCAACAAAACAAACGAAGGCCAAACAATCGTTGCCCATGTGAAACCCCAGCTCTCTCCATAGATGCTGCCTCTGCGTTGCCACGTCGTCGACCAGGCGTCTGCTCAGCGTAGGTGCAGAGTGCCTCTTGTGATCAGCCCCCTCTGGCGGGTAGGCAGGACGACAATGTCTTCACCCACGGCCAGCTCCAGGACCGGCGCGGCGTGGAGTTTGACGGCGGCTGCGGCGGCGGCTGTGGCGACGTTGGCAGGAACACCCGCCTCAATCAATGAAGCCCCAAGCGACCCAAGAGGAATGTAACCGAAGAAAGTTTCGATATCGCCTTGCGCGACGCCCGCGGCGCTGCCCGAGTCCAGCCCTTTCTCCGCGACCAGAGAAATACAGTGGATGATGTCCATGGGTTGCGAATTCCGCCTGCCACCGTTGAGGTAAAGGTGAGGCTGAGTGGGAGACGCATCGTCCACGTGAGGGGAAACGATGTGGACGATGATGACATGCAGAAACTTAAAGACCCAAGGCTGCGGTATAATGGCCCTGGTATGCCTTGCACGGATGGCCCCGGCTGCTTTCGCCAGGACGTGCCCGCGCACTCTCTGGCGCGAGAGTTCCCTCATGTCGCCGAGCGCTCGCCCAAGAAGCTCTGCAAGTGCGACTGCTGCACCCTCCCCTGACCATAAGAAGATCCGGATGGCATCCCCAGACACCCCGCGATGATCAACAAAATGAAATTTCCCGAGGCCCGCCAGCGCTCCCGACACAACCTCGGACGGCACGTGCACGTCCCCGGAATTTTGCAACAACTCGTCGAGCAGGTTGCCATCCTCCTCAGAGCACGCGCGCCATTTCTCCACGAAGACTTGCTTTACTGCCTCGGCCTTGTGACCCATCGATTCCAAAAATGCGCCGTCGACGTCCATCATGGTCGTAATCGGCCACAACTGTGGGCCACAACCGCTTTGACCGAACCACAACAGGGCCCCGAGCAACCCTCGACCTCACCCGTTGAGCAGGTAAGTCCGTGTAGAAGGCAACACGCTGACGATACAAAGAGGTAGCCAACTCCTTGCGTTCGACACCCGTTCTTGCACGATTCAGCTGGTTGCGCAGACTTTTGTCCATGGTTCCCAGAGCCTTCGACGAACTCGCCTGGAACTATGGTGTCGCCACTCCTCCTGGATGGGTTTGACAAACGACTCAAAATGCTCGAGGCTCGAGAAAGACGATGGCATTTGATCTGCAAGCCGTGCGGGCACTGGAAAGTGCCGAACTCACGCCATATCCATGCGTGGTCGGCCAGGGCATCCCTCCAGTCGGCGACGACAGCTTCATTCGAATTTCTCTCGTGGGCGCAAACGAAATCGATCAGAACAGGAGTGCCTCACCGCTCGCCGACCGGGATGCGGGTGAAGGGGGAAAAAGATGAGAACAGATCGGGAAACTGTCCGTCCGGAGAGCCTCGGAGGACAGTTGGTTTCAAATACTGCAACGACAACTGCTGGAGGACAGGGCGGAAAGTAGCCCTCAAGTCCTGGTGATGACTGGCATGGGGGAGAAGGGGAGGAGGAACATGAGGGTCCGTAGAGCCAGCTGCCACGGGCCCTGAAATCACTTCTGGCAACATGTCGATACATATATGTATATATACACACAAATCCCATCCAGATTGGCGCCGACCCCCTTGGCCGGGCGCGCATCAAAGCTAATTGCAGCATCGGCCAGGTCCTCAGCCTGGTCCTCGCAAGGGTTCAAATGAGAAAAAACAATGGAACAATGTATTCCGACATTGGGCTGGGAGGGGCAATGGGGAGAGGAAGACGAAGCAGACGAGGAAGAGCAATTTTCAGGCAGTGTCCTCATGTGGACCCGGCAGGATCTCCCGCGCCAGGTCACACCCCTCACGCATTGCTTAGACAGGACATGCACTATGAGTTTCATGGCTCGAGCCCCGCCCCCGGGCCAATGGTGGTAGACCGTCGTGCCCTGGGGAGAGTCCGACGGCTGGAGGCGGAACTCAGACTGATGATTGTCAGCCTCGGCTACGAAAAAAATGCCCCATCGCTCATATTTATCCCAGAGCGACTGCACCAGCGCCTCGACGGCTGCGGCAGAATTCGCACGCATGCCAGCATTCACGGCCCACGCCGACATGCGAAACGACTCCTTTCACTCCTCCTCAATGAACAATTTGCCGCGCCCGAGCTCCTCAGCGTCGTACGTGGCCGTCGCCTGAGACTGCCAGCGCCATGAGCTGCCCATGACCTGGCCGACCTCCGCCCCTGCGACTTTCACCTGCCGTTTCCGGACGTCTTTCTCCACCGGCCGGCCACGGCCCCCCTTTGCCTCGCACGCCGTGCAGAAATCGGCCGCCCGATGTAGCATCCGGGGAGGTTTCATCTCTTTGCGGGTCTTCTTCGCGTCGAGCCACACGCACTGGCCCTCGTTGTATGACACCGCGGCTTTCATGAACATCAGCCTGGCGACCTGCAACTGCTCGGGGTTGCTGAAGCAAAGGTCCACCATGCTGCCGCCCTGGCGGCGCGAGGCCACCAATCCGGAACCCAGACCACCTGTCATCGCCGACGCCTGAACGTTGGAGAACGTCGCGTGCCCGCCGCTCCAGTTCCTCTGCGGGCGTGTCCCATCCAAGGCAGCCCATCCTCGCTATGCGTCGCTTCTCGTACGGGAGGTCTGCTGATCCTTCGGCACTCGAACTCTGAGTTGTGCTATGCACCTCCACGCGCTCAGCACGATTGTCTACTTCGATGACTTTCTTCTTGACTGCCGTGAGCTCTGCAGTCAGACCCTGCAGCTGTTTCTCGAGCGCCTCGATCTTACCGGATGCTGCGAGCTGCTTCTCCCTCAGGTCGGTCGCGTCCGCCTCAAGGACGAGGAAGCGCTTCTCGACGACCTGCCCGAAGCCCTGGAAGGCGCTCGTCATGGCCTCCTTCAACCACTCGGACTGCGTCGTTTCGAAGGGGGGGCTCCTGGCTGAGGACGCTGCACCTCGGCCGCGCGGGGTGGTCGGTTCTTCTGTCCTCTGGGCCTTTTAAAGGGGCTCTTGGCGTCCTTGCCCGGCCCGAAGAAACGGTCCATCTCGAGAGAGAAACCTTGCAACATGGGTTGTAAGACGAGAATGTCGCACTGGGCTGGATAGGGGAGATCGCTGATTTGTGACAGCGGAGAAGATAAATCGCAACCTCGAGCTTGCACTGCTTTCTTGAGCAGACGAGAAAGCGGGGGAAGCTGGAGCGAGGAGAGAGGATGCAAACCGACAAGTATAAACGATGTGCAGGCGGAGGGAGGTGGAAAGGAGAAGGGGAGAGAGAGGAGGGAGGTGCCATGGTGGACGCAGGAAAGGGTAAGTCTGACGCCTGACGATGGCAAAGTCCGTGCCGCCGTGATCGCAGCCACGAGTTCTGAAACATTGAAAGCGGCATCGTTGTGAAGAATCTGAGCGCCTTCGTCCACGCAGCGACGACCGTCGGCTCATTGAGCCCGCACCGCTCTGGAGCAGCCTAGCCCCATCACGAGCAACGGCAGCAAGCTCCAAACATCAAGATGGCAGTGTCCTCCAATTGACTGCTCGAGAACGACAAGAAGTGTGCGCACATGTAGATAGCACCCCGCAAGTGCGAAGAAGAGTGAGGGGGCGTCTAGGTCGTCGGCAGTCTGCGAAGCTCTGAAAAAGCCCACCGCCGGCGCCGAGTTTTTACACGCTACACAACGAGTCCGCCGCAAGCGCCAAATTTTCCCATTTTCCCAAAGCAACGCGGGTGGGTCGCCGGGTGGTCGCGGGGTAGGTCGCGGGTGGGCCGCAGGAGGGTCGCGGGTGAGGACGACCACGACCACGCAACTTAGCAACAATCCGCACCGCGGAACCCCACTTCGGCCACGCAACCGGGGACAGGGGATGACCGCTCGGCCTCCCTTTTGGCTCACCGTTTGGCACACCCGGGCCGCCGAGAGGGGCCTTTGGGGTCCTCCTGAGTGCCTCTTGGGGCCATCTTGGAGGCTGTTGGGGACCTCTTGGGGACCACTTGGGGCTTCAACTTTGGGGACCTCTTGGGGACCACTTGGGGCCTCATGGGAGCCTCGTGGGGGCTTCGGGGGGGGCCTCCTGAGGGCCTCTTAGGGGCCGCTTGGGGGCTAAGAGGCCTCGTGGAAGCCTCTTGGGGGCCTTGGGGGGCCTCGTGGGCATCTTGGAAAGTCCTGGAGTGCCTCTTGGGGCTCTTGGGGGCCTTTGTGGGCCTCTGGGGGGAATCTCGGGGGCAGTCTGGAAGCCTCGACAGCCCATCAGGCTCTGCAGGATCATGCAAGATCCTGCAGGACCCTGAGGCGCTGGTCTGGGTCCATGCACTCCTGGCTCTGCAGGATCCTGCAAGATCCGGCGCTCTGGCTGACACCCGTTTGCGGTGACCCCCGCCTCAAGGCCCCCGATGCCTTGTCTTTGGCTGCCCTCCGGGGGAGGCTCCTCCCAGCCGACCGCCGCCGGCAGCAGCCGGCGCAGGCCGACGCCGATGCCGCCCGCGGCGTGGTGGGCGCGCCCCGCGCCCAGTTCCTCTCCGGCGGGCCCCTCCCCTGGAAGGGCGACCAGGAGGCGACATCCGAACCCTACGGTGCCCGGACAAAAAGTGCCCACACCAATGGAGTGAAGACAATCTGAACTGATAGCGTCCGCAGACGCAGAAGGCATATGGCTCACACCCCTACCCCTCCCGATCCCAGAGTGGAAGTGTCCACACGTTGTCCCTTGCGCGCTGCCTCATGCCCAACCTTGTGAACTTTGGGTCGGGGGGGCGGTGGATACATATGATGACGCGATGTACTTGGGTGTAGCGCTGTCTTCGCGCGACGGGTATGGACACTCTTAGTCCGTCCACCGTACCCCCCCCAACCGTCGACCCTCCTGAACCGATGAGAGGCGAGGGCTGGGGTTGGGAGTTCGCCGCGTGTTCGACGCGTTCCGAACCCTGCACCAGCCGCCATCGAGTTGCTTGAGAATCATTGATCGGCGAGGACTTGCATTTTTACAGCGCAGCTTGGAGGGGAGGAGGGGGAGCGGACACATCACATGATGCCAAGTTCGGCGACTCTATCACGAGGACGGCGAGCTGCTTCGAAAACGCCGTGCAGATGAAGCGCCCAGCGGCGCGGACGGGCCGCCATGCGAGCGACGGCGTTGATCGGCAAGAGTAGGGTCCGGATTTCGCCGCCCACCCCCCCAGACCCCCAACTTCGTGATTTTTTCGCAACGTCGACCCCCAAAGGTCTGGACCCATTCCCCAGGACCGATTTTTCATGCTGGGTCGTTTTTTGACGGTCCCGAGGCCCGGCAAGGGTCCCCGGAGGCCGAAAACAGCGAAAACCCCCCCGTCGTGATATCTTCATGACCCGAGGGGGTCTGGGTTCTGGAAAGGCGGCGGCGGCGGCGGGCGGCCACGGGGGCGACCACGGCAGGCTGCGGCGACCACGGCGGCCGCGGCGCCGGCAGCGACGGCGAGCTCCGCGGCGGCGCCCCGGCGGCGAGCCCCACGGCCCGCTCTCCTGCCCTCGGGAGCCCTGCCCCGCGAGGTTCGAGTCGAGGCTCGAGGGGGATCGAGGGGGCACGAGGCTCGAGGTCTGGAGGGGGCTCGAGGGGGGTCGAGGTTCTCGCGGGGCCGAGGCCGAGGCTCGAAGGGAAGGGGAAACCCAGACATCCGAGGAACTGTCTTGTAGATTTGCAGTGCCATCGTTGGGGCCATCGTGGGCCCGTGTCGGGCCCCTGGGGGCACCAAACAAAGACCCCCGCGGGGGGACGGCAGACGTCCCCCAGGGAAGGGGTCGAGACCTCCGGGTCCCGCGGGGGGGGGCGGCTGGCTTGAGAGTCGAGTGTCTAGGTTTTCGAATGGGTGGGGTCGTCGTGCGAGTATCTCCAGGTCTTCGAATGCTGCGGGGACCATGTGGGGGCCTTCAGGGGCCGCGTCCGGGGACTCCCTTGGGAAACTCGGGTCAAAACACACCCTTGGAAGGGCAGTGGGGGCCGACCCTGAGGCTCGAGGATGATGACGAGGAGGGGTAAGAGAACGGGCAGGGGAAAGAGGAGAGGGGCAAGGGAAGGGGAAAAAAGGCTGAGGCTGAGGCTGAGGCTGAGACTGAGGCTGCGGCTGAGGCTGTACCTGTAGCGACCCAGGGGGACGACCCTACGCGGGGCTACGGGGTGGCGCCGGGGCGCCGGCATCATATTCAATCAGTAACCCCTGGCTGTATCGCTGTGCGCCCTCCTGTGTGGGGCACGTACTAATCCTCCAAATATACCCACCAGTCGACGTCCATCACGAAGGGGAAGGAGGGGAAGAGGGGAAGAGCGTAAACAAGAGGTGGGGAACAGAAGCGCGATAACACAGATGTTTGCCAGCGGTGTCCCCGAATAGAAAGGGCATTCCACTCTCAATGTGCACTCTGCGGGGCGCAACAGATGTGGAAAGAAATGGAATCGCCGCTTCCAGGGCTCGAGCAACCATCCTCGCACCCAACCGCCACGTGTTGGCAACATCCGACTGGCGCAATGACGCGAAGTCCCGTATCATGCAGGTACATGACTCATGCGGGTGAGTGGTGATGACGACAACGACATCGGCGGCCACGACGATGATGGCGATGTTGATGGTAATGCTGATGGTCATGATTGTGATGATGGTGATGAAGATGGTGGTGGTGAAGGTGATGGTGATGGTGATGGTGATGGTGATGATGATGACGGTAGTGATGGTGGTGATGGTAACGGTGATGGCTGTAGTCGCGTTAAGAACGAAACCGACGGCGACGTCGATCATGATGACGATGATGAAGACGACGGTGGTGATTATGATGACGACGATGGTGATGGTAATGAAAATAATGGTGGTGATGATGATGGCAAGGATAACGATTGCAATGATGACAATAGTGGTGATAATGACGATGGTGATAATGAGCATGACGATGAAGTGTGCCCGTGATTACGCAATAATCCCGCCAGCCCTCCGGGCGTGGGAGGTTTAACGAATTGTGTTTCCTCTCCCCCTCCTTCCCCTGCTCGGGGGAAGGGCAGACCCCTCCCCAGACCCCCTCCCCTGTGCCTGGGTGCCCCAGGCGGTTAGAGTTTCAAAATGGGCCCAAGATGGTTCCAAGAGGGCCCTTGGCAGCGCAAGACGGCCTCCAAGATGGCTCAAGATAGCAGGGGATGGCTCAACATAGCGAGCCTCCTACATACCTCCAAGGAGGCCCTGGGTTCGCCGGTTCTGCTGCGATGGCCGGTTCGGCTGCGATGGCTGGCAGCGCTGGGGAGGCTGCGCCGACCGACGCCTGCGCCCCAGCAATCACGCCACGGAACAATCCAAAAGTGCCACTGGCGTACATCGCGTCCGAGCTGCCAATAGCCAAACGAACCGTACTAAGCGCCGCAGAGGTCGCAACCGTGGCGTCGCGCCCAATGTGTCACTTGACTGGCCCAGCGATCTTTCCAATGCTGCCGCTGCACTTCTGTCGTGTGGCGGTCGTGCGAGCTCGGAAACCACTCTTTGCACATATTGCAGAAAGCGTAGCCCTGAATGACCACGGCGTCGAGGCACTGTGCGTGTCCAGCACGGTAGCAACCCCAGCAAGCCCAGACGTCAGCCACACTGCCATTGCAGATCTCGAAGGTCATGTAGGCTTCCACGGCACGTAATCCCCAAGGTTGTAGCTCGTGCTGTGGTCCTTGTTGTGGACGACCTCGTTGTGGTAGAGCGAGCAAGTTGTAACTCGGTCTCCCCGCTAGGGATCATAACTCTCGAATTCACCATGGGATGTGGAGAATGGGATAAGCAGTGTCCGTTGAGCGTGACAGAGTTGGCAAATGCTTTCCTGTCAGCGGACTCGTGAGAGGTTGGGCCAAAACGGTTGCGGAATCCCTTGCTCCCGAAACCCTCTCCCTCAGCAGTTCAATACGCTATCCACTTAGTGGGATTGCTACTGTGCAAGACGACGTTTACTGTACAACGTCGCTTTCGTATGATCGACACACTGGCGCGCTGGAAACACATGTATATAGTAATCCAAAAACAAAGAGGGACTTTGCGGATGCAGTGTCCCTGGTGTGCTATATAAGTGATACACAAACCCGAAGAAGATTGCTGGATGCAGCGTTTCTGGCCTGCTATATAAACTGTCCCAAATCCCAAAGACATGTTGGCAGATATGCTACGTCCTCCTCCTCCTCCTCCTCCTCCTCCTCCTCCTCATCATCATCATCCTCCTCCTCCCCCTCCAGTCCTCTGTCCCCGCGCGCAGCTTTTGGCCCGTGGTGGGCCCAGGCGTCTCGTCGGCGAAGTCCGCGGGGGACGGCGCCGGTGCGCAGCCGAGTCCTGGGCTCGACCACGGGGAGAGGTCTCGGAGGCCCCCTGCTCCCTCACTCCCCCCCTCCCCACTCCTCCTCCACTTCCTCCTCCTCCTCCTCCTCCTCCTCCTCCTCCTCCTCCTCTTCCTCCTCCATCCTCCCTCCTCCCCGCTCCCCTCCTCCTCCTCCTCCTCCTCCTCCTCCTCCTCCTCCTCCCTCCTCCTCCTCTCCTCCTCCGTCATCCCCTCCCCACTTCTGCTCCTCCTCCTCCTCCTCCTCCCCTCCTCCTCTCTTCCTCCTCCTCCCCGCTCTCCCCGCTCCTCCTCCTCCTCCTCCTCCTCCTCCTCCTCCTCCTCCTCCTCCATCTCCATCCTCCTCCTCCTCCTCCTCCTCTCCTCCTCCTCCTCCCCTCCTCCTCCTCCTCGTATTATTATTATTATTATTATGTTTCTTAGTTTTCGTCTTCTTCTTATTATTAGTCGTATTATTCGTATGTTTTTTCGTCTTCTTATTATTCTTATTATTCTTATTCTTATTACATCGGCGTTACAAAAGTTTCGTCATAACATAAAAGTCGATCATCTTGCATAAGCAAAGACAAACCCCGCCCCGGTGGGATTTCTAGAGCCGTGTGAATTTACGTCGGGATTTCAAAATGTCCCGTTTTAAATCTATACTATAGTAAGGGATGAAATCTCACTTTTAGAAATCCCGGATCTTTGATCCGACCGCTCTTGACTCAGTCCGCTAGGATTCTAGGGGGGAAGGGGGGGCCCAGCTCGGCGCGGCCAGGGCAGTGGTCAGCCTCTGCCCGCTTGCTCACGCGGAAGGAAGACACGAAACCCATGCCACCTTCAAGCTCTCATGAAACGTGACGAACTTTTGTAACGGCGTAGTATTATTCTTATTATTATTCTTATTGTTATTAGTATTCCTCCTCCTCCTCCTCCTCTTCCTCCTCCTCCTCCTCCTCCTCCTCCTCCTCCTCCTGATCCTCCTCCTCTCCCCTCCTCCTCCTCTCCTCCTCCTCCTCCTCCTCCTCCTCCTCTCCTCCTCCTCCTCCTCCTCCTCCTCCTTACGCGTTTCGCGCTCGGGCTGTTGGGGCGGTCCGATTTCGAGAGACCCCAGACGCAGCCAGCCCTGCCCAGCAGGGCGGCGGTGCAACCCCGACGACTGAGCGGCGCCATAGCCGCTGGCGCTCGCCCGCGTGGCACCGCAGGCTGCGGAGGCAGAGGGCCAGCGCGCGGGCCACCCTGCACCCGGAGGCCGCTCGCCTGGCGCTGGCTGGCCACCACGGCGAACGCATAGGGAGACCCGTGGCCGCCGCGGCCATGCCGCCGCACGTTGGTGCTGCTGGCGCTGCTGCAAGTGCGCCTGCCGATGAGCAGCACTGGAGAAACCCAAGGTGTCGACAGGAGGGGCTCTGGGCCAACCGCGTGGTTTGCTTCTGCCGCCGTGACGCCCCAGGCCTTGTCGTGCGTAAGGCCAGAGCCAAATCGTAGTCCCGCCCGCCTGCTCAGCGCGGAGGCGGCGGAGCGGATGGCCCTAGGCTGCAGCGGCTGGAGGCGGGCATGGCCAACATCACGGCGGCGCTGGAGAAGCTCACCACGGGCGGGAACACCAGCGGAGGCACCCGCGGGGGCCGCGGGACCCCCGCCATCGAGCCAGGAGCCTCCCAGACCACCGAGCCCGCGGTGGACCCTGCCGCCCTAGAGCTCGACAGCAAGATCGACGGCCTCTAGTAGACGATCCCCACACTACGCATGGGCGGCATCGACGTGGCACAGCTCGAGGCAGACCTGTCCGAGTTCAAGCAGCAGCGCGTCGCAGCCCGAGGAACAAAGGCCGAAGTCAGCCCCCTGGGCGCGAAGCTGGACTATGCCAGGACGAAGCGAGTACAGCTGCTGGCCGCGCTCAAAGACAAGCAGTCCGACGTGCTCGAGGCCAAGAAGGTGGTCGAGGAGGCGGAGAAGGCTGTGCTGGACCACGAGGCCGTCATCACCCAGGCCACAGCCACCATCGCGGAGTTGGAGGCCAGCCTCAGCCAGGCTATGCTACGCGCCATGCCTCTGGCGGCCGCCCCAGCGCCGTCGGCCGAGACGGAGCGCGACGCCCAGCGCTTCCTGGCCATGGCACCAGAGGTCGCCAACCTGGGCCCTGAAGTCGTGGGAATGGTCGCCAAGCTCCTCGCCAAGCACCTCTCGTGGATTGCGGCCAACCAGAAAGACCGCACGGGGGCCGAGGAGGATGGCGAGCAGGTGCCAACCCCTGGTGACACGGACCTCGGTCGAGTAGATCGTCAAGGCCTGTAACTCGGATGGCAACAAGAGAGCCCTCGAGGACCTGTGCCAGCGCATGGGATTGCGCAAGTGGCAGCGCCTTTAGCAGAAGCAGAAGCACGGTGGACGTTGGTGAGGTGACCTCTGAACGCAGCCCGTCCGAGGATGAGCAGCAGCAAACCCACCTCAGTTTTGCGACGGCCAAACTGACCTCATGGGGCACAGGACGGGACATCTTTCCACTCGTCCAGGACCAGATCCTCTTCGTGCAGGAGCACAAGCAGCCACGAGGGCGACTCTTGGAGATACGGCGCACGTTGAGGAACGAGGGCTGGCCCATGGCATTCGCCCCAGCCATCATCAAGAACAAGGGCTTGCAGGGCGGCGTGGCCGTGTTGGCGAAGAAATACATTCACTTTGTGTACGACCAGCAGGACCAGATCCAGTGGCCAGGCAGAGCGTGTGTCGGGTACGCTCGTTTACATGGGATGGGCGCGGTTGTGCTGTACTCGGTGCGCCTCGAGGTCAACGTGGGGCTCAACGGCCAGAACCTCGACATTCTCTACAAGCTGCGCGAACACCAGTCGCGTCACAACCTGCCGTGTATCATGGGAGGCGACGTAAACATGGACCCCGAGGACATGGCAAGCTTCGCGGGCTTCCGCGCGCCAGGCATCCAGGTGCACATTCCCCAGGGTCCGACCTGCCACGGCAGCAACGGCACTCGCTACGTCAAGGGCTACTTCATCACGGGCGGACGCGCGGGCTTGGCCATGAAGCAGCCAGTCACCAATCCGTCATTCGCGCTGCCAACCCACGACGTGGTCCACATGCAACTCCGCCAGCGCGTCGAGTGGCCCAGGGTAGGGATGCCGCTCACCACGGCACATCTACCCACATTGACCCCCGTGGGCCCCCGCCAGGAGCCCCCCGACGGGTCGGAGGTGCAGCGCAGGCTCTACGAGACCTACTAGCAGCTGGTAGAGGGCGGACCAGGGGGACAAGGACGCGGCCTCCCAGACTACCAGGCGGCGGTTGAGCAGGCCCACACGGAGTGGATCGGCGCGGCCAAGGCCGACTTCCAGGGCATCGTGGACCGCGACTCCAGGACGATGCAGCTGCGGGAGGGACCCCATCCAGTTCAATGAGGTATCCTTGCCCGAGGTGTGGATCACCAAGAACAACAGCAAGACCACCCCAGGCAGAGCCCTCACGTGGTTGGCAGGCCAGCTGCGACAAGTCAGGGGCCTGGTTCACCAGTACCTTGAGCGCAGGATGAACCCCGAGCTCCAGGAGCTACGTGGCTGCCCAGAGCGGCGCCTGTGAGGTGCCATCGCCAGGTGCCGAGAGGGGATTGCGCGCGCGGGCAAGTTTGGCCTCGCCTACCACGCCATGGCCGACCACTAGACTACGACGCCTGGTGCCAGATGGTGCAGGGCCTCCTCCAGCAGGTTGAGAGCGACGTCGGCAAGTACGGGATCAACGCCTACGAGGGGTGCGACAACCTGTACATGTCTCCTGCATGCCTGGAAGCCCCGTGCTGTCCAGAGCGCCCCCCACATGGCGAGGCCCCGCTCCAGGGGGTGGCCTACCACAGCAGCCGCCAGGGGCTCGAGCGCACCGATCGCCTCAGCTACACCCACACCCCGTGGGGCAGCGGACGTGGATCGCGATTATGATGGGACCCCCCCCCGCGCTTCCGCAGGTTCGGAGCAGCTTGGCGGGAGGGGAGATCGTGCAGCCGCCATGGGCGAGAGCCAGCACGCGCACATGATCCACAAGGTGAGCAGGAAGCCTGCTACCAACCTCCGCGTCTCCGAGACCGACCAGTGCGCCTACCGCGGCGAAGAGCTGGACCCACAGCAGTATGCAGCGCAGACGCTCCATGATACTTTCAACGCCAGAGGCTCGAGCACCCAGCTCGCCTCCACCACGCCCGCACCCCACTTGCTCAGCGCAGGAGCTAAACTTGTGCAGAGCGAGGTGGACGCCATCCCGCTCGCAGACGTGGATCGCGATTCTGGTAGGACCCCCCGCGCCCCCGACGGCTCGGAGGCAACAGGAGGGAGAGGAGATCGCGCAGCCAAGGGCACGAGCCAGTGCGCGCACATGATCCACTATGAGAGCGGGGAGCTGACTACCAACCTCAGCAACGCAGAGGGCGACCCTTTAGCGGACGTCGACAACGAGCTGGACCACCAGCAGCTCTATGAGCAGTCGCTCCACGGACTATCGAATGCAAATGAGAATGCGGGAGAATCAGCAGGCGGCCTGCTTGCTGGGGAACCTGCAGTCTCGGTTGCGCCCCAGGCGAAGGGCGGAGGTCAGCCAGGGAGTACGGCTGGGGCGACTGGCTGGGACGACCTCAATTCCCAAAGAGCGCACCTGCTACACCGTCCCCGGCGAGATCGAGCTGGTCGCCAAGGTGGCGGAGCACGTGGGCAAGCTTGTGCTCAGCGGGCAGCTGTACGGCAGGCGAGTCAAGTGCTGGCGCGACGCGCTCGCCGACGACCACCTGCGCGGAACGCCCAAACCCGATCAGGTCCCACCCACCCTGCATGCGGCCATCACTGCGGCGATCGAAGCTGGAGGCCATGAGCGCCGGCAGCACCCACTCAGCGCTGAGCAAGTCCGCCAGGTATGCAGGTCCTTCAAGACTGGGACATGCCAGCCAGGGGGCATCCACCCACGTCGCCTGGGCTGGCTGAGCGATGTCGAGCCGCTGACGGCCTTGCTCAACATCATCACTGAGGC